AATAACTATAGAAGGTGGATGACATGTATTAAGGGTATTATAAATAGATAAAAAAAAGGGGGGTTAGTGTAGGGGAGGGGTTGTATAATGATAATTGTTTGTTTATAAACTCTGTTATCTAACTTTGTATCATAATTATATACTTATAGACTTCAGTTTACATGTCACTTCACAATGATTTTATCTGTCATTTTTTTCAATTTTTGAAATGTTTCTCGTCATGTTAAACGGGTTGAATTAAAGGGATTGTAAAGAGGTTTTCCTAAATTGATTTGTACCGATTTCAATTTGGCAGTCAATCGTCTTTTAGTCTTGTTATTTCAGAATCCCTTTAGGAAAGGGTTCTATGCTAGGTGGCTCTGGCAGTGGTGGTAAGAATTTGTTCTCTCTTGAGATGAAGTCAAAATTCAAATCGGCAGTATGGACCAATTTATAGGTTATATTTTGAAATATTCATATCATATATATATATATCATTGTATTGTCAATTTGTACTTGATGCTGTTGATTTGTATCATGTGATTATACTTGTTACTTTATTCATTGCCTTTGACCAGAATAGTGCAAACGTTGCAAATAAAGATTATAGATAGAAATACTGCTTAATGTCAAAATTCCATCTACTGAACTTAAAGGGACCAATCATACTTTATTAGAAACTGGTATATTTTAGCTGAGCTAATCAATAATAGTGTCCACAACTCACCGTCAAAATTTGAGCCTTCATATCTATGTGTGTCCAGAATTATCTGCGTTTGAATGTTAAATTGACGACTCGTCAATTAAGATACTCAGTGATACAAAGAAAATACATATATAGAAATAGTGTGTAAAATTCCTTCCTTTTAGAAAGAATTATGCGATTTTCGTACATGTCTTACTGTGCTTCTGAAGACTATTTACACATTTTCAAGACTCAAATCAACCATCCAACATGGCGCATCTGTCCCTTTAATAAATGAAAAAATGATTTCAGTCCATTTATTGTTGAACACTGGGAGTATGGATTTAGTAAGAATAGTTTTTTAATCTGGCACTCCCGCTTTAATTTCAGATAATCCGCCTGCCAGATTCGAAGGTGCTAAATTCACTTAAATTAGTATCATCTCCTTGAAATATCATTATTTTATTTGTGAATGCCAAACCACTCCTTTCCACAACATTTTCAGCAAAAGACCTCACGTTACTCAATAATTGTTAGCTCCAAATCACACAGTCTGTTTCTTGTACATGTAAGGTATACGTTTGATTGGGCCAAACGCCCTCACGGCCGGCCTCCAATCCAAGACAAGATTCGAGTGACAATATTTGACAGCGCACATAATTTCCTCCGAATGCTTTTGTTATTTAATTACTAATAATAGGTATGTCATGGAATTTGTAAACATCATAATTTTATTGACAGCACATCAATGGACCAGCACCTTCAATTATTTAGATAAAACCTAATACTCGCCTTCTGAGCTGTCGATATCAACCCCTTTCCGTCACTAGATACACCTTATTTACCATAGTACTAATTTCAGTCCTATATTTCTTTCAGCCCAATTCAGCCCTAATTTACACTTTTACACTTTGTTTACACCTCTAGTTCATGACAGTCCTTCTTTGCCTCACATAATTATTAATTTTATCACACCCTAAACTTAACCTCCTGTTATATTGGGATCCAACCTTTAACTTAATTTGCACCAGTCCAAATTTTAACCCCCCAATTTCTTTAGGCTCAACTGTAACTCCTTACACTTCCTTACTTTAACCCTTCATTTCAATCAGTCAGATTTCAACCCCCAATTTCAATCATCCCCAAATTAACCTCTAAAGACCTGATTATTATCCAATTATTATATGATACCTATCTATTTATCTCCTCTAGGCCCCTCAATTTGACCTCACCTGACACCCTGATATCCCTGTCAGACTGTGTAAATGATTTACTACAGATATCACTATAACTGTTGTTTTATCAATTATTATTACCTGTATATTCGGTTATTATTGAATTAAAATATAATTAACTACCAATTGGAATTTTTAGAATACTTTTCAATATATATGTTAAGTGAATAAAGGGAGCAAGGGAGACAAAAATAGATTGACGCTATTGTGGATATAATTGCTAAATATATTAATTGAATATCATTGCTGTAAATTGGATGATTTCTTTAACTCTGCATTGGTTCAATAGTTTATATCAAGGCCACCCAACCCCAAGAACACAGTCCCCACCCCCTCCCCTCGTGTTGCATGTATTAATCCATCATCACTCTGTTCTCATTATGCTTTTATTATGCTACCATAGTAAGTTATTAACACCTAGAGTGATAATAGCACATCATTTCCTCGACCTGTGTTTACGGTGTTTATAACTCAATTATATCTTTATGGTATTTACCACTTTACCTCTGATACATGATTTGTCATTGCTGAAATTGTCTCATAGAAATGAAACTGTCGACGAAACTTGAATTTAATAATATGAAGCCAAGATATTGTCAACTGCAGGTCTTTTCTTTTAAAATACAAACGTTCACCAAACGAATTTCTAGAAAAGAACATTTTTTTCTTTATTATTCAGTTCTGATCTTGAGGCATATACCAATTTATAGGTCATTCTTGAGATTTCAAGTCACATATTCATTCAACGAATTTATGTTATTGGACTTCACAATTTCTGTGACCAGGGATATGAGCCGAAGACAATGGTCGTGGTCAAAATTGTCCTGTATTTAATAGAGATTTGGGTGGTTGAAAAGAAACCAGTTAATATTGACAAGCAACCAGTCACTATTCAACAGAAGGCACATGCACAGTCTCATTTTACACCTTATGACTACATAATGAATAGTACAGTCGTATATGAAACTTGAATTATGGAACCTTTGTAATAATATTGTCTATATAAAATATACAATGCTTAATAATCTCGAACTATTGCGTGTTGTTGTACATTGAAAAAACCACATGTAGAAATGGATTTCAGTGTAAAATTCAATACTGGAATAGAAAATTGTATAATTCCACAGAGAGGTCTTGTTAACGGCGGTCAAAGCTACAATAAGTTATCATATTTCTAAAGCGCACGGTACCAAAATTACTTTCATATCATATAACGCATCCCGATCGTGTAAATACACACTGAACGTTATATACGCTATATCAGATTTAATACTCGAAGATCTTAGTGCCTTCCTCTGTTCCATCTTAAACAAAACATTGATATTAAATTACCGGATAAAAGGAAACGTAAAGACAATATTATCTTATGTGTTGTATCGGATGTTCCAATGAGCTTATTAAAATCCTATCATATATCGAGGCTGATATAATACCGGTGTATATAGCGGATTAAACTGCGGTTTTGAAACGCTCTGACCAGTCTCAAGTTAGACCAAACAGCCGCAGGGTTTGTTTTTGTTTAAATTTTGATATGATTTCTGAATTCAGAGACGAGGAGAGAGTGCTTCTTAATATGTGTTCTTTTCCTTAAAATTTTAATAAATCTGAAGAACAAAGAACAGAAAAAAACCTTTAGATGTTTTTTCAAAAATCACCAGAAAATAGTTTTGATATTGCTTGATTTTCATGACAGTCCCAAAGTCACAATTTTGTTTTATCAAATATTTGGTTTTGTCCTTCCAGAAGAGTTCCAAAATGAATTTCAAAACAAAGTAATTCAACTTTTCAACAAGTCTTGATTAAATTCAATAAGGAATGATAATAGTGTATTTGTTAGATGACAAAAACCAGAAAAAAACCTGGTTTGTTCAAGGTCCGGTTGGAAGTCTAGTCTATATTGTGTAGGATTCAAGATATATGGTCTTCTAGATTGTACTGCTTAATTTCCAATATGTGTATTAGCAACTTGTTATAGTAATAATAATAATCTGAGTTCTGTTTGTACACAATTTCATACATGTATACAAAAAAGGGGATGATGTGACTTTGATTTAAATATTTTGGATTCATTTACTCAGCGTTCCTTTACGTCATAATTTTATATAAAAAATCAAAAATATAAATAAACGATACAACTAAGGAAAGCATGAAAATTATTTTTAAAGCTTAATTGTGTGGAAAAGGATAAAAACGTCATTCTCGTGGAATATATCAGTTGTGTATGTTAAATAATAGGCACATTTATATACCTGTAGCCATTAAAGGCTTTTCTTCATTATTCCAGAAAATTTGAAACAGTCAGAGTGTTTATGATTCTGTATTTTCCACAGAAAATTGTTCCAATAATGTTATTTCTGCAAATGTAGATTATAAGTATTATATGATCTTGTTTGATTTAGTTCATTGCATATTAGCATCACATTTATTGTAAACATAATTTTCACCCTGTGCCAGTGTTTTATATTGAATAGTAACTTGTTGCTTTTCAATCACCCTAATCACTAAACTTCGGACTTTAAACCATGGGAAAAACAGGTTTTTGAAGCAGATATCTTGAGGGCTGTGTCCCTTTGAAATACAAGAAACTAAGAATATACACAACAAGCTTGTAAAAAATAAACATAACGACAGTTTAAAACAAGTAAAAATTTCAACACCAGAGTAAAGTTTATAATTTATACAAATTTTCTTTCAGATCCAAACAAATCGTTAAAAACTTCTAGCATCTGGCCAAGTTTTCTTGTCGAGAATCAGAGGTGAAAGTTCATTCATTCATTCAAAATGATGGACAACCCCTCGCTTTCACATTCGGGCTATAAAATTAGTTGTACAGCAATTCAACCGTGTTCAAGTGTTTCTTAACTGACTAAAACATTTTTATTGAGTCGAAATCGCCTGGTTTACATGAAAATTCTCCTTCATTGTTACAATAGGATTGACATATCGCCATGGTAATACACGAGATTGACAGATCTTCGCTCCGCCTACTACTTCAATCTGAAGTTGTCACTCGACTAGAACGATAAGCCCCGCCCACAGTTTCGTCTATACACTTCCAAGTCAACATGTGTGCACACAGTACTGTTTACTCTCAACTATGATAGTTAGGACTGAGTGAAACTTGGTGTCTTCGATATTAAATAAACGGAAGGATTCGGATTTGACAACGTGAAATACGGATTTTGTTATTTTCAAGGATTTTGTCATCGGACCAGAAATTTTAATGACGACTCAGGATTCTTAACAGTGTGTTTTAAAACCTTCACGACGTTATAACGCGTTTAAATAACGCGAATTTCACAACGTTTTAGGAACGTGACGTTATATCCGACCACGCAAGGAACTGAACGTTATCGTACACGTTTCCGTAACGTACATGCTGAACGGTGTCGATGTGACATCGACTATTTTTCTTAGTTCGTACCTTAAACAGGCATCATACCAGTTCACGAGAATTTGACCCTCGGGTCTTTCGCCCGACCACCACCCCACCAATACGACTCCTGTGTTGTGAAGAAGGAGCTGGGCCAAGAAGAGATGGTTCACTGTGCTGGATGTGAACGCCCTATATCCGACAGGTTTCTTCTCAATGTTTTAGATCGTGCCTGGCATGCCAAGTGTGTCCAGTGCTTTGACTGTAAAAATAATTTGACGGAAAAGTGTTTTTATCGAGAGGGAAAATTATATTGTCGACTCGATTTTTTCAGGTAAGTTGTCACTTGGTGGTTCTCTCATCTTGAGTTCTCAATTGTTTTATTCTATGCGATTTTTTTTTAATTCTTAACTCGTTTTACGATTCAGAATTAATATTTACATCAATTCTCCGGGATATAACTTGATTCAATATACATGTACATACAATAAATTCATCTCATATACTCTTTGATATTATTTTCAACGTATAAACACAACGTTTCGATATATTACATTTCTTTTTAAAATACACAACGTTTATCTAAAAGAATCCAAGTATTCATATGCAACTTTTAATATTATTATACAAACAAAAAAGCATAAGCTACTCAGGAAATACAGCCTAGGCCAGTGCTTCTATAAAAAAAGATCTATATCGTTATAACACTTACTACAAACAAAACGTTCTAGAAACCAACAAAAAATATTAAAACTTTAAAAAATATAAAAAATATTATAACGGGTTTTAAAGAGAATCGTTCAGGGTATATTTTAAGATAATAATCGTTTAATTGTATTAACAGACCTAGAAAATTTGTAATAGTTGATAACATGCAGTCAGTGGAAATACAACGGAATTAAGAGATTCAGGAACTATAGAGAGGGTTTGAATTTATTTTTGACTTGGGCAGCCTTAAGTGGGTAAGCAAAGCTATCGCTTTCTAATCTATACGATAAGAACCACTTTTATAATAACCGGAATAACTTTTATATTGGCTGATCTTTGCGACATAGGAACCGTTATTTACAGAATTCATCTGAAATATTGAAAAGAAAAGTGCTAAGGAAAGCCAATGCATGATTTGAGGAAATGAATTTTCAAAGAAAAAACTACAGCAGAAAGTTAAGAAGAGTGAAGTTTAGTTTATGATAGAATAAGTTTACCATCCGGAATATTCAGAAGGTGTCGACAGTTTTCTTTCAAATAATAAAATATTTCATACGGTACTATGGTATCATGTATAGGTGGTCTGCGGATTCCTTAATAGAAACATTCAAAAAGTCTGGTGAAAAGACAGAAACTAAAGATTAAGTCCAAAGGATGGAGCTATCTACTTTTCAGAATGTTATCCTCACAGTATTTTGGTATGTCTAATATTGTAAAGATTAAGAATATTAAGTCTACCAAACCTTTTATATTTTCACAAAATTATATATTATAAATTCTAACCTCCACTGTTTTACCAAGATTTATCCGGTTGATTAAAAAAAAAAATTCGAACCCATTACTCCCAGCCTATATCTGACAAACCGAGTTAAAAATTTCGATGGTATCGGGTGATAATTATGCAAATTTTGATTCAAGGCGACGAATTTTTGTCTTGTCTCGAATAACATTTAAACATATCGCGATATTAAATAACAAACAATGTTAGCTTTGTTTAGGATAAAACATTGTTTGTTATCTGATCAAATTCATCACTATTCAATAATATTGAATTTTATTCATTTCATTTATTCAGTCTATATTCATTTATTTATGCATATGATAATGGTGCCTGTTCATTTATTATCAATCGTCAAGTTTATAAGATTTTATTTATTTAATGAGTATAATTAAGAGCCAGTAATCAGAAATGTTTATTTTCATGATGATTACAATGTAAATTGTTGAAACGTTGTGTACAATAAAACCCAGGAGAAGTATTATTAGTATTAGTATTATTAGAATAATGCTGCATATATATTTGATAAGACATATTCAATCTTATTTAATTCATTCATTTATTGAATAATAACGAATTGTATCCATGCGCTTATGATAAGAAACGAGCTATATTAATACAATGTTTTAACAATGATGTACATAATTGATCTATTATCATAACATTTCATCACTTATTCATAATGAAAAACACCGAATAATCTGTATTTGTTTATTGAATAAAAACGCATAAAATGATAGAGAAATGGGTATTCATTATATTGTTTGCATAACAATACGAATAATGACGTTTTGAATAATAACGCAATGATATTCATGCAGTAACTGAATAATGACGTTCGGATAATAACGTCTTCAATTTAAAAACTCTCAATAAAAAGGTTTTAATATTCAAGGTATAAAAAGGATTGCTAAAATGATAAAATCAGCAATCAATTTTTAATCGGAATAAGCTTAATTTGATTTCATATTACAAATCATTAATTTTACGGATGTTCAGGTAAACTACCGTTTGTTACAAATTTCATTCTTTATACCTCTTCAATCTCAATTCGATTTGTAAAAAAATTATCGGAGATTCGTCGGATAATATTCTGAAGAGCATATCAAATCGAGTTATGTGTAAATATAACAAGTACATCCGATAAACATTGAAGATAAAACCACGAGCAACAATATATCAATACATCAGTTGATCTAATTAATAACAATGTATTCATGAATCCATGATACATATTAATTACCATATTATAATATTGTTAGATTTCTCTGTAAAATTAACAGAACAGACTATGGTCTAAACTTTTATCACCAACAAATATAGGACGTAAAACTCCCGTTATCTTGAAATATGAACAGAATAAAAAATGTGGAATTCGGTCCCAAAGTATAAAGCAATAATCCGAAGCAAGCAGGACGTAAAACTCATTGAAAAATGAACAGACAATGAATTTGAAATTTAATGCAAACATATTTAAGCAATAATGTGTTGTAAAGTAAGAAGTAAAACTCCGTTTATTTCATTTTGTAAAAACATAAAACAGATATTCTGTTAATATGATAAACAGATGTATGTAGATTCTGTTGATTTTATACATGATAAATCAAAAATACATAATACGCCTACAACATATCTACTACATACCAGGCCTCTGCGTTAAGGATGCTGAGTTGACAAACTCAATCGCAGAGTGGGATCAATGTAAATTGACGGTAATTTGAGTGAACACTGCTTTAACCTGTGCCAGTACCTTGTGGAGGATAGTAACTCGTTACTTTCAGCCAGTTCCAGTGCTTCCAAAAGTCGGCATTCAAATCTTAACATCTTTAAGATTTCAGGGTTTCAGATTATTACAACAATGTATCGATATAATGTCACAACGTTTTACAGTGTTTCTCGGTAATATTCATAATATCGTTATGTATAAATGAATTCATATTATAGTATATGAATAATGATGAATAACTTATCGACAAATCTTAAACTTCAAAGAAATGTTATAAATTCGTGATTTAATCACAGAAACATCACAACCTTGTATAAATAATACTGATTACCTGTATATCTTATCAACAAGAGCAAATCCATAAAACATATATTGTGGCATAGCGAAAATATGACAAAACATAGTTCTATGTAGGACCACTAACATTTTAAAAATTATTTTTGGTTTAAATTCGGATTCAATATTTCAAACCGAATTTCCAGTCTACGTCTGATTATTCTAAACGACTGCAATATTGTAATAAAGCCAAAAATCCGCGAAACGACATCAGAAATATCTTGAAAACTTGACGTCCTAATTCACATTCACTCCGTAGAATGATTCAAAATGTAGGCATAGTTCTCAAATTCAATCCGACAACTTCACAACAAGAGACGATTTTAAAAAACTTGTCTAGCATTAAGGTTATTCAGGGTGTTTCAATTGAATTATTTTTAAAAATTATCCTTTTTTATTAAACCTATCATCCCATACATTTCATACATGTGATAAACTATAAAAAATTTGTTGTCTAGTTTATATAATACTTGTTGAATCATGCTATCTCAAGTCATCCTTTTATTGCTCCGAATTTCACAAGATTAATGATTTGTAAACCCTAATCGCCAGTCAAAAATATCTCGACGTAAAATTTGCTGAAGCGAATATTCTTGTTTCGGCTTGAAATGTTCAAAAATCTTTTGGAAACCATTCACCCGAAAGAATTTTTTTTTCTGAATTATATTTTATCTGATTTTGATATGTAAAAAATCTGTCGACAGTTTCACTTGAGTGATCGTAGTTTAATGGTTAGATGTTATAGATTCTTTGTTTTATTTTCTATGTGCAGTGATGCTGTAATAGGTCCTATAAAATATTAACTGAGTTTTATTTCAATATTCTTGAATATAACTTTACCAATAGTCAGTATTCAAGTTGGATTCTCGCAAAAATATGTTTAGTTACGTAGCCTATAGTATTTCTTCAAAATTAATTGATGGAAGGTTCAGATGTTTATTTACGTATCAAATGCAGGTTTAGTCTGATGATTTCAGCAATTCCACAAAATCACGTTTAACAATTATTATTGATATTTAACACTTCTTAACCTTTAACTTGTACTTTGTTTTAACATAAATCTTTACTTTGATACCTTGACCAGTGCTTTTATGGGATTATGTTTCACAATCCGATTTAACACTACAGCATCGCGATATCGCTCTACTTTTGACCACAACTAAAAGACTTTTATATTATAAACTATTCTAAAAATGAATATTATAATATTGTTAGCATCACGAAAAGAGAAGGAGTTATTAAATTTGTCTTGCAATAAGTGCTTATCATGATAATGCCTGTCGAGTCCAAAAGTTTTGAAATGGACAAAAATATACATCGTGTTAATGTACTACTCATTTGAACGCATTAACAGCAAAAGAAAAACCTTCTCACAGATCCAGCCACCATATGTTTTCGTTAAGTTGATTGTGGTTTCTATTCTACCTATATTTACCTGAAGTTAGACAAGGCCAAGGTCTCCCAGATTACAGCCAAATAACCTCACGTACAATTAAATTAAATAATTACAATCCTCTACTTTACATTGTCAAATATCCCTATTCTTTCACGAAGCAGGTTTCTTTCTTAAACTTAATCAAGTTTCGTCAAACTGTCTATAATAGTAGCCATGAATCTTGCAGAAAAGTGGGACGTAAAACTCTATTTCATTTTGTTTCGTGTTTCGTTAAGCCACCTACATAAGTCCAACAGATGCAGAAAAGCAAAACGTAAAATTACATTCGTTTTATTTTACTTCAAGCCTTGTCACACCGTCTTCATTAAAACATACTGGACGTTACACTCTGTTAAATTTCGTTTCATGTTTCGTTAAAAAAAATTACAAAACTATGCAATGTTTCAGAATTTGTATCCGAATATCTAACTGAAATCTGGGTACTCTAACTTTATACCGTTCCGCTCAACTACACTAAATTTAATAATAAAATCAATTATTATTGTTTTTTCCTCTTGTAATATATTTATTATTTAAATGTTTTGATTTTTAAATGTAAAAGATAACGATCAAGATAACATTGAAAGTCATAATTGGACTAATCCATGTTTTTCTTTTCAAATATTATTTTTTTATTATTGCAATATCTTGATTTTTATCGATTATATTATTTCTTTTTTTATCAAAACAGAAAATAATAAAAAATCAACTTTGTAATATTTGTAATAATGTACGTGTTATTACATTGAGATTATTTCAATTACATTGTATTTTGTAATACGAATTTGATACAAATATATAATTACATCTATACAAAATGTACATATTGTAGGGTAAAAAGTAATATATAATTTAAAGTCATTATTATCTGAAATTCTGTTCTATTTATATTTTGAAAATATTCAAAATTTGTACATTTGATATACATTAACTCACTTATAAAACAGTGGTACGATACAAGTATTCTTCTGTATATAATACATAATATATTCAGAATGTAAAAATTAAAATACAAAGAAAGAAATCAAAATAATGCTACGATACAATAAAAACTTGTAATGATTAAGAACAAGAAAGGAATTACATGATCTCTACTTCGTCTGTACACGTATGAATTCTAAAATCCAATCAAACAATTTGCTTCAATGTCTTTATATCTACCATATATTCTCATCTTAAATGTGAATTGTGATGTTCTACATTTAACAATGCGAACTGTTCCTATACTATATTTAAAGTCTATTTCGTGATATAATATTTCTGTGTAATATTTTGATGATTATTTATTCATAATTCATTTTTGATATAATTTGTTCGGTACAAATATATTTAATTAAAAATAATTATTATTTCTAACCGTAATATAATTAGAATATTACCTATATATTACCATGTATATTATATATTATGATTTATGGTTCTGTCTGTTTTAGGCTTGTATGGTGTGTAGAAAACAGCTATCAACAGGCGAGGAACTTTATATTTTAGACGAAAATAAATTTATTTGTAAAGAAGATTATATTAACAGTAAATTTGCTGGTAAGTTTTACATTTCTAAATTTTTACATTTTTACATTTTTCATTTGAGCAATGATTATTATATTCCAAATCTGCTTTTCAATTTTTATATTTTCATTTAAACAATTATTAGCATATTCAAATTCTTCTGTATTTTTTCAATTAATTAGATTCACAATATTTAGATATATACTAGTGTATTTGATCACCGACATAACGTATCGCGATTTTAATATCTTTCATTTGTTAACTGAAATGTTTAATACCAAAATTTCAATGTTGTTATGTTTTGAATTCAAATAATAAATCACTCCATAAAACTACAAAACAATTTTCGAAATTAATTAAAATCTATATATAGATTAAAATGAACGTCAGCACGCTAATGTATTTACAAACAAAAAGGGCAAATTATCTTAAGATCGAAAAGGAAATTGGGTTTCTGAAAGGCAAGTTGGAAGTTGGGATAAAACAAAACGAAGACAAAAAAACGAATAATTTTTTTTATCGTGTATATTTAGAAAAAACAATAAAATAAGGTTTTTATTTATTTTTCAAGTATTTATTAAAACTCGTAAAACAATTGTTGGCTTATTATAATACCATTATCTCCTTTCCCGACCATCTCATATCCCTGCTTGAATACAACAAACACTCAAATATACTACAAATATTCTCCTAAAAACATTCAACGTACACAAAAAACTCTTAATATTGTTATGTTTGAACACAAATCGTCAAATTAAAATCTACTCGAAGTGGTTATTATAAACAGATTGAGAAGACTTAGTTTACATTGAGAGAGAAAGTTAGAAATTTTAATGTAAAAATCAGATGGCGGGTGTAAAATATCCGCCGTAAAATAAAATAACACAAAAAGAGAAATAACGTTTTTAAGTTCACATTTTAGAGCAAGGCTCGCTGAAACATAGGTATCGGCTTTTTGACTGAATATATCATGAGAATTGTAGGCGGGTATAATCGATTGTCACTTTTACGAACACCTTATGTACCTCTCGGCTTTGTTATTCAACTATACATCCCTCTATAGTTAATGATGTTGGATTACTATATTTTGAGGATTGTCAACTTCCAGAGAGTCCACAATTAAATCTCGTCAATTTAGAAAGATCTTATTCTAAAATTCTATATTCTGTGTTGTAACTGCGTTTTAGTAGCCTACGTTTAAAAATAGTATCTAGGCCTTGGTGACGTTGTGGTACACGTGGTGCGAGGTGCCAGACGATCTATGACCATGTAAACCACCAATCAACCACTCCAGAACCACTTAAACACCACTCAGCATCACTTGAACACCACCCGATTCAGCGATCCTCCATATCGCTTGTCGTGGAATCAATATCTCTGAAATTACTGTCACTCATCTTGGACATTGAAAACCATCCAAGCGAAGGATTGTTTCCAAACACTTGGCATCGCATGTTCAAGACGCTGTTTTTCTCATGGAAATTCAATAACAGGATCGAAATGGCTTTGACCTCTGTGTTAAAGAGACTCCATAGCATCTTAGGACAAAACCGCATATAAAGAGGATGACGAGATCTTTGGTTTATTCGCATTGCTTTTTACAGTTTTCTTTACAGACAGGATAAGTTAGTGTGGTGACGTTTTAAACACCGTAAGTGATGTAATATAACGTCGACGTCATTGACGTTTTGAAACTAAGTGACGTAATGTAACGTCGACGTCATTGACGTTTTGACCTTTATTTTTATCGTGTTAAATTCATATCCCAGCAAATTTTATTGGGCCAATCTTCCTCTTTGGGATGATCAAAATGATACGAAATCCCCCTTCGACCACACCTTCCCTCCTGCCAGCACAATCAATATTGATGATATGACAAGCTATATTTCCAAGTAGGATTAAATTAAATCGTTCTTCTCCCCGACAATACACCCCGTCTTGTACAATACTGACTGGAGAGATTCGCTTCCTTCCTTTTATTCCCACTTTAATATAGATCGCACCCCCGGGGGTCGGGAAACACTTGAGTTCAACAAAACAATTTCAACTTACATCGTGTCAGATACATCACAATCTGTGTTCTTAAGATAATGTAAAATATATGATACATCGTGACATTGTTAGATATGTAACAATACATTACCTCTCTCATCTCTTCATTTCCATGACATAGTATGAGATGGATGTTTACGTCCTTTATTTCTGCTCCAGAATAGATCAAATGGCGACGAACAACGTATTTTAGTATTGACAAATTTTGCCAAGACAGTGGTATTACCTACCCTTTTTCGATTTTCAAATGTCGATGTGCGCCGCTTTTAGAACACAAGAGCAGTCTTATAAGTTCAATTGAATATCGTTGACTAGGGTAATTCAACTGTAGCCCACCTTCCCCCACCCCTCTACCCCATCTTAAATTCACACATTTCAAACTGGGGAAAAACATTGTGATTGTAATCAATAGAATCAAAATGTAAAAACCCTTCGTAAAAATATACAAGCTATTATCAGAATCTTGAAGCATCTTCAGATTCGACCACCTACCATTCTTGACACTTCCAGGCACTCTGCGTCTCTTATCAACACAATATACAAGAATAACGCTTATACAATACAATATATATATACTGTATTACTCAGTTATATCTCGCAAACATTGTATAACATAATATCATACAATAATTAATTGTAAACAAACTTTAATTATATTTTAAAATCTCAATAATAAACAGTTTCAACAACATTTCATTGTTGCAGGCTAAAATTGACACAAAAGGTACCATTTAAAAATTTCTATACTTGCCTTCTTAAAGGCACACTTCAAAAATTTGAAGTTGAAAATTATGGATCGATCTGCACTTAAGCAGTACATAATCTTTTAAAATCAATTTGTAATTTCACCTGATTCAGAAAATAGTAAAAAAAGAAGTAATTAAAATTCCCAAACAATTAAACGACTTAATTAATTAGTTAATATGTAGTAAAATTTCTGTAAATTTACAAAACACTTTAGTTTCATTAAATGCCATTTTTTTCACAGGATAATCTGTGAACGATGTATTTTAAATTTTAAACTTTGAACTTTGAACAGCACTAGGCTGATACTTTCTGCAATTTAAGTGAGTTCTTATTCGGGGTTGTATTGGGTGTATTTTTGGATTTTGAACTTTGAGTTGTTCTTTACACTGTTGTATTGTGTTCTTCCCTTTATGTTCCAAAAGATCTCTAACTGCCAGTAACTAGAGTTCAGATCAAAGAAGGATTAACAATGACATTATATACTGGTCTGTAAAATTACTTCAAAGACAATTAACTTTCAACTTCAATCTTTACTTGGATATTTTTAAGATTATTTAGTTTTAACCCCGAGTCTTTTACGATCTCTTGAAAAATCGACCTATACCTTCAAAATATCATGTAATTACAATGAAAACAATACACGTATTTTCCAAATCAATATGCAAAGAGTAAATTTGTTTATGCTTATTGTTGTTGGCGACAGCAAGGGGACACTTCGAAATCGTTATGCAAATCACCAGGGAAATCTGACTAACGTATCTCTCCAAATCAAATTTTTTAAAACATTCAAATATCATACTGGACTACAAAGTAAAATATGTTTGACTACATTTGTTTAGTTTACTGCTTATATTTTAAAAAAAATTAGTTTGGGGCAAGATAACGATTCGTGTTGTACAGCTCGCAGACCACACGCGTGTGTGTATGGTAGAGGCCCTGGGGGTAAGGGAGATATATACTCAGCTATCAGCTAATATAAATCTGTTCACACGTGGTCCAAGTAGAATATAAACGCCTAAACTGTTGAGAATGATGTAATTTTAGACGATTTCGTATTAAAGTAACAACATAATGGTTGATAAGACGGTGTTATGGACTTGATAAAAGATTGTGGACATCTTTAAAAAATACATGCTGATACTAAAATACTGTTCAGAAAGATTATAAAATTATTTTCTTTTCAAGGGCAATAACTCAATCATAAACTCTTTGTTCTTGAGATATCCATTGGGTCTATTTTAGAATAGTTATATATTATAAACTTCAGATATCCAAAATATGATTTTTTTGTTTTAAAGAAGTTCTTTGAAAAGCTAATTAGTATTTCCAAATGTCTTATAAAGCCAAGGGCAATAACTCAACTCAAATTCTTTGTCCTTCGTAACATTTCGAAAATTGTTCTTTTTTTTTCTTTTTTTTAGTTGCTTAAATAACCAAATGCATGAAAGGTTTACTTTTTCGTGCGGCTTTCATAATATATGATTAGTTATTCCCAAAGTCAATTACCACTGTCAAGGGCAGTAACTTGTGAACTGGGTTATCTAAAGAGATACATAAAGTTTCACTTTTAAAAAGATTTGAGAATTAATTAGAATCTGATCTCAGAAAGTAGGAAAATACAACCATCTATCTCGTGATATCAAAGACATTTTTAAAAAGATTTTTGGTTTGATCTTAGATTAGATAAGTAAATTCTCGACAAAAAATCAGTCATATCGCATACAGAAAAACATAATTATCATCTTTACTTGCAACATTTTTCACATTTTTATCATCTTGCTACTTTCCTTATCAATTTCCGCTTGTCATACTTTCCTTCTCTTTGAATACATATTAATTTTCACTGTGGAATTTTACTTTTCTTTGCCTACCTTCAACACGAATTACGTCAAGATTGTAAACATGGCGGAGATAAAAGGCAGGCGTGTGGTCAAAATTAACAGACTAAAGCCCCGTTTATAACTTGACTACAGTTTCAAAGGAGGGAGAAATTACATGCAGTGTTAGTTTTGTGTTCAGTGTAATACTGATGATTACGATGTTTTACTTAAAATTGGGAGCCACGTTATTGCACTGGCAAATAAAATGTTGACGTTAAAAGTAAAAATAACTCTCTTTTTGTGGTATAAGAATATAATTTAGTATTGTAATATATTTTGATGAAATGGTGACTTATCTCTCTTAACTTTCGTAAAAAATCTCAACCCTGGTCTAGGCATAGACTGCCATTCTGG